TGGCCTTCAGTTGGCCAAAGTTGGCCCTCTTGAACTGCCAGCTTCTAGTGCTCGACCTGCTGCACATCCCCAGTCCCCTGATCTCAAAACAAAGGATGGAGTGATCACTCGCATCCAGAGCTCCCCTAATCTGTATTTCATCTATCAGCTTCTCTCTATTGGTCAAGACCAAGTTAAGGATGTCCACCCCCCTCGTTGCCTCTCGGACCCTCTGTGAGAAAAAGATTACACAGAGGAATATCTGCACAGACTCAGTTGCACGGCTGCACAAAAAACAGATTTCTGTGGCAGTTGTGAAGGGAGGAATTCTTTGCTTTACAACTCAATGCATAATGGGTTCTCTGAAGGTAAGCTTTGAAAAACATTGACACAAAGTATGGAACTGTTGCTTGTCTAAAAAATGGGATTGAATGATTTATGGGTGCAGGGGCATAGCTCTTCCCTCATCCTAGCTTTTGTCAAATAAAAGCCCCAAACTTGTTAGTATAAAGCTAATTGCTGTCCTGTTCACCTTGAATGGAAAACAGTGATATCATAAAGGTTACTTGCTTCAGATAGATGGGTGTTTTCAAACATGTTCTCTAGGACAAATGTGACAGCTTCTGTATTGGAACAAATACTGAAATTAATTAATTCAACATAGAAACAGAGCTTGTCATAAGGGGTCTTCTGGGCCATCTAGTCTGACCCCTGGCTCTAGCCAGCTTTGCTCATGACATACCTACCATGTGCATGTCTAGCCTGTCCTTGAACACCCTCACTGATGGGGCCTCAACCACCTCCCGTGGAAGCCCTTTCCATACTTCAGTTTACTTAAATTGAAAAATGTAATCTACTCTTTTAGAGTGCTAATACAGGAATGTTCTATCTGGTCATGGATTCTGTATTTATGACTCTTCTTGGTCTGTTTGCTGCTCTGGAGTCTTGTCAGGAAGGGCATAGTTAAAGTAAGCCAATATATTTACAAGCAACCAAGGAGAATCCTATGTACGTTCAGGGGGAAAAAGCTACGACTCCTAGGATTCCTCAGCCATGCTATCTGTGGAATCCTGGGGATTGTAGGACTAATTTTTTTTAGCAAAACATGCATGAAATTACATCCTGCAGGTTAAATATTTTGTTCAGTTTGTAAGTCCAAATAAAAGTGAGTTTCTGATTGCCAAAAGTTAATAAAAGAAAATGTGGGTTTCTTTGTCTTCATGAATGAAAGTCCATCATACTTTTATGGAAAGCCATGCTAATATATTACTATATTAGATTAATTAATAGATTGATAATGAGAATTTAGTTCAGTTTGGGTTTTTTGCTTTTTTGTTTGCATTGTATTGATGTTAGAAAGGTTTTTATATGTACCTTGTTTGCATGGTTTGCTTTATTTTTTAATTTCTGTTAAGACATCTGGCCAAAATAACACACTTGATTTAATGAAGATTATATTAAATAGATATTCATTAAACATTTGTCAATGTCAGCTATGGTTGGTATACATACCAAAAAGGAGCATTATGGTTAGTTTTCCCTTGTAGCTGACAAGCAATGCATGCTGAAAATGCTTCCCAAACTGGATGAATATGATTCAGTGAATTCTTTAGCCATTTGATGAATAATAACTTGACTTTCCATAATGACAATGCTAAGAAATAATTTCATACTGAAAATTTTAGTAATGGCTTATAAAATGTGATTTTATTTCTTAAATTGTAGGGTGGAATTTCCAATATCTTGGAAGAGTTGGTGGTCCAGCCATTACTGGTATCCATCAGTGCTCTTACTCTAGCTACAGAAACTGTCCGCAGTATTCTTAAGATTGACGATGTGGTAAGCTGAGCTGAGATTCTCTCAAATCTTTGTCCCATTATTGTCAACAAATTTATCTTGCTGTCTTATGCCATCATCCTAAAGTTGAAATTCTGTCTGTCTGTCTGTCTATCTAGAGAACTTATATGCTGCTCCATTCGCATAAGCCTCAGGGCAGCTTTTTAGGCATGGCAGATGAGGAGATTTAGGGCACAATCCTATTAGGATGGCTGTAAGCCTCCAGACTGAGTATTAAGGGTTTATTCTATGCAGAGCAGGAGGAGCAAGCAAAAGTGATCCCCACCTTCCTTTCCTTCTGCCCCCTCCCCCATGTTTGTTACCATTTTTGCCTATCTAGTGACTGAGGAAGGAAGGAGGCTGGAGAAGCCTCAGTATACCTCATGTCATGATCTTTCCAGTTTCTTTCTCCCAGTCATTCCCCAGGAAGAGGCCCCCTTTTAGCCTGCCTCATGTTTCAGACTGTGGAGAGACAGCCAGTGTGGTTCTTTATGTGCAAACTGGGAGTGGAGTTGCAGTTCAGATTGTCAGTGACCTTGGATCTGAGAGTCAGAAATTCTCATTGCCTTTGGGTACTGTCTAGGGGCCATAGAATTGTTCCATTAAAGAGCTATTAGTTGACTTCTTAGTGGAAATGCTAGAATACAAAATGTTGTACATTTTGAGAGGTAATACAGTAGTTATATGTATCATTTCTACAATGATCTATTTCTCTTATTTTCAGGTAAACACGCGGTGAGGTGACTAAAGCAAAAGACAGTGCCACTCAGCTTCTTGTTATAAAGTTGGAATACGGCTCCCTCATAGAAGCTCACTGTTGGGCATCTTCTTAGCTCCCAGGTTCATCCATGTACTTCTGTCAATTTAAATTAATAAATCCTCAAATCCTAATGGCACATCATTTACATTCTTCTTTTGACATCTGAAGAAACAGTCAATCTGTTGCTAAAATGCCCTAAAGATCCCCCCTTTTTAAGTAAAAGAGGCTTAAGCACATAATTTCCTTTTGAGATCAGTGGCACTTTAAGGTCCTTTATGATGGCTAAGCAGTCAGCTCCTGGGATGCTGTGAATGAGTGGGAAGCAAGTGTTGACTTCCTGCTAGGGTGACCTGAAGGTTTTGCATTGGTGGCAGCACCTAGAATTGGTGATTGTTCTGGGAGGAACAACCTACACTTGTACCCCATGAGTTCTTGAATTACAAGTATAGACTGATCTCTCTCAACATCCTCCAATTTTGGGTTTGGATGGCATTAACAATCCAGAGTTTTTCTGGGTTACTTAAGTGAGAGGAAGTAAGGTTGGGAGGTAGCATGTTCACTTCTATTTCATTATTAGTAACTCCTGGTTAATTCTGAATTGTTTACGAAGTGCAAACTAGGTCTTGTCTTGCTATTGGCATCTGGATCTACTTAATACGTACCTTGATGAAAATGACATTGTGTGTCAGTAAAATTTTAGCATTTGTTTCTATGATTGCCACATGATCATAGGACCATTACAGCACAGTTCTCTCATTTCTCAGGACATGACTGTCCAGGAGTTTGTGTCCCATGTTGTTGGTTGCTGAAGGGTAGGGTCTGAATTCTTGAGAGTGGGGATGAATACAGTCAAATTTAAGTTTGCTTAAGCTTTGCATAGTGGCAGATAAGGGATTGAGGAAGCAAAACAGTAAAATACAGAACTTTTTTCAGTTTTGGGGTAAAGGCAAAAGGCATGGAATTAAAAATGCCAGAGCAGCCTGAGGAGCTTTTTAAGCTTTAAACACTGGCATTCCAGCACGGGGGAAAAAACCTGCACAAAAACTGGAAAACAATGGTTGTGTGACGAGAGAGGTGTGGCAGGAGAACACGGCCATCTGGGGATCCCTAGGTGTGCCAAATTTGCATCCCAACTCTGAGACTCTGCATCCCTTTTGTAAAATGTGTATATTAATTGATCCTTGGAGTGCTGTCTCTCCTTTATACCACCTGAGTTGACAAACTTTCATCATCATCTGATTTTAGTTAATAACACTGACTTACAACATAGCCTACCATTTACAGTAGGGATAGCCTTGGGTCCATGGTTTTATCCTAACAACTGATTGGTGCTTTACTGGCTTTTCTGCCACCCATGCTAAAAGATGAGACATTCCTAAGGCTTAGCACTTAACCTGCAGTATGCTAGTATTTTGGATTTTTGGTTGAATTCCGTATGCCTTCGGCTACAAGGCGCACTGTATATGAACTCTGAAGTTGAATTCTATAAAAGGTTCCTGACCACTGTTTTATAGACTGTGATCTTAATGTTCTCACATATATTTACACATGAAAAATTATATAGGGAACTTGTATATTAAAGAACTTCTAAAGAGACTTGGAATGGTTATAAAGCTTTCAGAGATTATGTCTGAAATTCAAGTGGAAAAGTGCAAATAGATATAGATCCAAGCGGGCAAATGTTTATATCCTATTGTCAGTGTTGACCGTGTAGAAGCCTATGTAGAAAAAGGTCTTAACAGCTGGTGAAATTCTTCAAATTTTGGAATACTACACAATTCTTTTCGAATACTGGTAGGTACGATACGATTCCACAGGTTTATGGATTCTAGGATAAGACCAGTTATGGTAAACAAGCTGCACAAAAGAGAACATTGGGTATGACATGCCCCATAAGTCCTTTGCTATGTTTAAGGAGTCATTGCTGACATTGATATGCTAAACAAGGTTGCATCAGAGTACATGGCTTTAAAATTGGCATAGTTCCTGCTGCCTGCATGGTAGGTCTGGCAGGTGTGAGGACAACTTAGGATATTGCCCAAAGTGTATGTCTTGCATGGAATGCAAGTAGCCTTTAAGCTTAGAAAATATACCAAACGAGATACAAAAATTAAACTACATACAGTGTTGGAATAAGGGGCTGAATTCTATGGGAATCTGGTAATAGGCCATTTTGATGGACTGATTCAGTCATTTATTAGCAGCACCTGATGTTCTGCCTTCATAGATGCCATTTTTTCCAGCTGTTTTTCTAAATACATCCTCAGCAGCCAAAAGGTCAAGGTCTTCAGACATCTCAAATATTACTGGACTTCTATACAAAGCAAAAGTGCTTTGGGTGATTTACAATGGACAATAAAATGAAATAAATATCATTAAATTGGAAAAACAAGTTTTAAACACCTAAAACAGACTATATTATTATTATATTCTCTCCAATAAATCTTAAATGCTTTATAAATCTTCAGACTCCAGTGACGGAAGATTTATAAAGGAACATTCACAATATGTTTACATATAAGGGAATGACACATACTGCTGCTTATTTCAATGCCAACAATGGGCTTGGTGAGCTAAGTGATAAAGTTGACCTTTTACTGGGGCAGCTCTTTCTGTAAAGTCTTGCCTATTTTCAGTATGGTTTTGATACATGAATTCCTTTAACAAAATGAATTATTGGTGGTAACTTTATATTTTGTCTGAGCTAGAAAACATGCACAGTGTATGCTGTAGTGAGGACCCATCTCTGATGCTCAATAGATTAAGCAGGCAATAGGTAGGTCCTGGAAATAGATAACACAGAGTGGTTCCAGGAAAAGCTAGCTGACCTTCAGGCTTAATAAAGACCAGGCAAGGTTGACAAGGTGAAATCTACATTTGCCAGTAACAATTGAATAATGCCCCAGCCCAGGCAGTTGCAAAAGGGATTGATCAGACTACAATCTGTGGCAAACTGATATTCGTGGAAACTTCCACTGGCAAGTTAAGTCATGCCAAACGTAACTTTTAAAAATGAGCGTTTCAAGGCTGTCACTGAATGTCCTATGGTATGATCTGTTAGAAAATTTAATACAAAGCAAGGCTAACGCTCATCCCAATCTAGCAAGGGGGGATATTAACAGCAGAGGACACCAACATTTCACAACAATTCACTAAGGTCTATCAACAACTCTGCTATTCCCAAAATAAAAAGTGCGTCGTCTTATCTCCCTCATGCACAGCATGGGGAAAATAATGCCGGGCAATTTTTCAATGTTGACCGTGCGACTTATTGCTTTTCCTTCGCATTCCACACAGTAAGACCCAGTTTTGATCGCGGTCTAACGTGATGGAAATAACGTCCTTTGGCCGCCAAATCACAGCCCAGATTTAAATTGAAATTTCTCGGTCCTCCTCGGAAAACTGCAGTTCCTCGAACTCTCTTATGTTGGAGAGATGCCGACCGTTCGAAGGAACCAGGAAGTTCCGCCTCTAGAAAGGCGTTTGTGTATCTGGCTTTACAGAGGAAGCTTAATGACCGCGTAGAGACACCGTAGCGTCTTAAGCGAGGAGAGTCGGTAACCAAGGCCGGCAGTGAGAAGCTTTGGTAACCAAGGCCGGCAAGCGGTTTAGTTTGGAGGAGGATCATCATGGACGCGGCCCACCGAGCTGCTTTGCTCGCCGTTTCCTGCATTCACACCCCGGTCAACCCGCGGACCAAAGTGCCGATCGCCCTTTATGAGCGGGAGCCAGAGAAGCCCCGGGCGGGGGCTGGCGACCGGCAGGTAGGGCTGTGGCCACCGTTGGCGTTGCCTCCGGTCGGTGGTTGCCTGCCCCCTCGTGGCTGCGAGAGGGGATGAATTGATAAGAGGCGCTTCTTTAAATGCTGGCGTTGCGGCAGGGAAGCCTTTCTGGCAGGACCATATGCGGGGAGCCGTGGCGTGGCGGGCAGCGGTCCAACGGGCCTTATGGCGGGAAAGGTGAATGTGGAGCGCCTCCACATCTGTTAATGCATGAGGGCAGGGACAAGAAAAGCGCAGGTTAAAGTGCAAGCTCTTAGATGTTTGCGCAAAAGTTTTTCCTGTTGGGTTCAGGGGGTCTACTCCTAGGTAAGTATGTATACAATTTCAGACTTATTTTGGTAGGGGATTTTCTAAGCAGCTGATTACACCTGGTGAAGCTTCCTCTTCCTCCATGCTTCATCCTATAAGGATGTTCCGAGAGCAGATGTTTTGTTTAGAATTTGAAGTGGCTTTGCAATGGAATATCCAGAAAATGTTTAGCAACTCCTTAAAGTAGCTTATACTTGTCAGGGACTCTTACCCCAACTGGCCTAAAGGTTTGTTCCACTAACTGTGACAGATAACAAACGACCAGCAAGAAGAGAGAGAGAGAGAGAGAGAGAGAGAGAGAGAGAGAGAGAGAGAGAGCGCTCTTTATTGAAGTGTTCCCCCCAGCAATACAGAGCAGCCTTTCCTCTTTCGTAAAGGACCAGCATCAGCCATTAACAATCCAAATGTTTTTATACCTTTAAGAGCAAACTCAGTCATTAGTCATTTCAGCCTTTCCCCATCCATACCCTGATCCCGCCTTCTGTGCATTGTTAGCTGGAGAAAGTAGGTCACACCGCTCACTTATCTTAATAGTTGACAGTTAAGCAGAAAGATGCCAACCATTTTCTTCTCAGTGTTGTTATAACTCAGGATGCTGTTTCAGCTGAACAATTTCTTTTGCACTAGTGTTCTATTCATGCACACAACCATTTTGAATTTTCATACAACTTTGAGGGGCACTCTTCAGGTTGAAGCCTCAGCAAGGTTACAAAAAGTTCAAGTGCAGGAAATCAAATTTTATATCACAGTGAACTCTACTCTCACAAATCCAAATCTTGTGTCTTTTATGACAAGTTGGAGAAATTTAACATCTAATGCTCTTCTAGTCACTGCTTCTGGGGTGGAAGTTATGAATTTCTGTACTCTAGCTCAACTGCCACCTCCTTGTTATGTAGTTTTTAATTTGTTTTTAAGGTATAATCTTATACATGCTTAGACAGCCATGCTGATTGGGGAATGTGGGGTTATAGAACTGTGTCCTGAATAAACATACAATTTAGGCTTGTTTTTCTGCCTTCCTCTGAGTACAGTGGTACCTTGGTACCTTGGCTCATGAACTTAATCCATTCCAGGACTCTGGTCATGACCCAAATTGGTCGTGGGCCAAGTTAAATTTCCCCATAAGGTTCAATGTAAATAAGGTTAATCCATTCTGTAACATTTTTTTTTTAATCAGAAAAATGTGAAGCAAAGTGACAAAGAACAACAGAGATCACGGCCATCTCCCTCCCCCCCACACACCCCGAGCATGAGCGCAGCCATCTCCTTGCCCCTCCCAGCACGACCAAGATCATGCCCGTCATTCCTGCATGCGCCTGTCATCCTGGCACACTGGGGGAGGGAGAGACAGGTGCGAACGGGGCACACTGGGGGTGGGAGAGATGGGCACGAACAGGGTGCACTGGGGGAGGGAGAGATGGGCACAATCTCGACCATCTCTCCCCCACCCCCAGCACGATCGTGGCCATCTCCCCACTCGAGGGTGGGGAGATGGCTGCGATTGTGCTGGTTGGTGGGGGGGAGATGGCTGAGATTGCACCCATCTTTCCTGCAGGAGTGTGCCCGTGATCACGCATGTCTTCCCTGCATGGACACAACTGTGATTGTGGCCATCTCCCCACTCGGGGTGCGGGGGAGATGGCTGGGATCTTGGTCGCCATCCAATGCAGAGTTTGCAACCCAAGTCAAAATTTTCATGTAATTTTTGTTTACGACCCAAATTCGTCGTGAAACAAGGCATTTGTGAGCCAATGTACCTTGTACAGCTGAGAGTAGTACTCAGTTAACTGGTGATGCTTGATGTATGTTGGATCAGGTTAGATTTGTGCATCTTGTATGGTTTTGCTTATAACCAGGGTGGCAACTCTTTCTGTGTGGGGAAGATATAGTGATGATCAGTGATATCTTCTCTGATATGTGATAACCTTTTAAATCATTCTCAGTCTTGAAAATTTGGCAGTACTGTAAGTCCACTTTAGTTTGCTAGCTGGCTAGACTGTGTCATGACCTGGCTTGATGTAAGCCTCCAACTGTGATTGACCCACATGGAGGAGGATGGAGATTGTAAAATGCACTTTACCATTTGAAAGTTAAGTTCTGTGGTCCATGTTTCTTTCTCTTACTGCCTTCTCACAGTGCCCCCATCCCCCTAGAGGAAAGGAGAGGAGTTGGAAGGTGACATCAGCTTAGATGTGAAAACTGAGTAGGAAGAAAAAGATCTTATAGTTTAGTTCATTGTATTCTATCCTATCAGTATAAGAATAAAAAATTAGTTTGCTGTTAGGAGCTGAAATCCTGCAAGTTCTGAAGCATTCCTTTTTTAATCTTAAGGAAAGCATACAGAAGTAGTTCTTACTTTTTTTTAAAAGAGTTCTTTGATATTTTTGATTGTGCTTTATATGCAGACATTTCCACAGGAAATGTTTCAGAGAATTTGTATATCACAAGTAGTGTAATTTAGACAGTGGTGTCAGATACATAAATATATGTCATATGGTTTTCATACACCCAACTCTTCCTAAATCTCTTAATCAGCTTTACATGAAAACTGAAATGAGTTTATGCACAGCTAAACAAAAATGGCACAGTGTTTCAATACATATAATTTTAAAATTCAATTATTTATGTAATGTTAGAAAGAACATGTGATTTTTGCCTGTCAGTACTAAGCTCTTTCAGAGGCTTTGCAGTTTTATAGTGCAGTCCTATAGATAGTCTCTTTTCTGAGTGCTCGATGTTTGGTACAAAAGCTCTTGTTTCACAATTGCTGCTGGTTTGCAGCCTACTGGACGTACCACTAGAAATGATTTCTGCCCTTAGAGTTTGCTAGCAATTTAATGCATTACTAAAGGTGTCCTGGATGATTCCATTGCACCATCTCATGCTTTACCCTTCAGGGAGTAATCCCTTGGTATGGTGAGTATATTGTTGTTATTGTTACAGTAGTAGTATCTATTTAAAATTATTTATATTTATCATTGCTAGCTCAGAAATATGTTAAATATGCTCTCTCAATATGGACAGTTGACAGCATAATTTTAAGCCAGGCATCTGTCTTTATTGCATTTTTATCCCACTTGTCAGACATTTCTTGAGCAACATCCAGTCCTGTGTCTCTAGTATAATGGCAATCATGTGTATTGGCATGATGGGTTTTCTGGTTTTCCCAGAAAGTCTGCCTCCTCCGTTTATATTGTTGCCCTTGTGCCAGAGGCTTCTTGTGTTTAGCACTATGCCAGTGCATAAACTAAGTGCCCAGTGGATACTGCCCAGTGTCCCTCTCCCAGAGGTGCTCACAGCAATGAAAAGGACAGGCAGGTCTTTACAAATAAGGGGAGGGAAACAAGGGGAATGGAGGGGAAAGAAAGGGGTGAGAGATTAGTTTTCAGTGCCAAAACATAAATGCACTTTGAACTGATCTTCCTTTGTTGATGTTCTTCCCTGTCGTCAATGGATGAGGCCAGAGCTGATGGCAGAGGCCAGTGTGTGCTTCTCCTCTGCTCTCCAGTCCCAAGGTAGGAGATGTACTGTTTTAACTGTTCAGACTTGAAAGAGCTCCTATAAAGTCTGTTGTCCAAAACTGATTTATTCATGTCTCATAGGTTGTTTATGTAGGAACTTTGTACATAAATGCAGTGGCATACAGCTTGGACCCTACTTTCTGCATATTTAAGCAGATTCAGACATGGAGCATAATTTCTGTTTCCTAAATTACTAACATTTCAATAAAGACAATTTTATCATACGGAAATAAACAATATGAGCCTTCCTTTCCTTTTTTTTAGGGTTGTTTGAGTCCTGAGAGTCAACAGAATTGCACTGTGCATGCTGACTGTGAGGGTTGGATGGATCTTTCCAAAATGTGCCTTTCCAATAAAGAATATTACTTAAAGCTAGAAGAGCTTAAACATGCTCACCTGGAGACCATGGCAAAGTTGGAAAACATGTATCAGAATAAACTATACTTAAAAGGAGTTCAACCTTTAACCAACATGGATGTGACCCATAGTATGAGTTATAGGTATGGGTTGCATCTGCTATCTGTACTTCAGTGTTGTTTGTCTGAAGATGTTACCTATTGCAGATGAAACTACATGCTGCTAATCTCACTAAATGTTGTTCCGTTTAATGTACTGGATGCCAGAGGCTACTTGTAGGTAGCTCAGAAATTACTGAAAAGGTTTGTTTCTTGTATGTTTCACTTTCTGTACAATGAAATCCTTATTTTTCTAAGCTTAGGTACAGTACTATGGGCTTAAAATATATATACCTGGCATTGATTTAATCTGCAGTGTCCTTGACTGCAGAAATGTTTAATCCTGTGGATGACACCACAGTTAGTTCAACTCCAGTGGTTTGTAATGGGTTAAAAATGGGTTTCCATTTGTGGCAGGAATCTAGACTCAACAGAGGCTCCTGTTGGAAGAGTGAAAGAGCAGCGCTAAGTAATGGTTCCCTCTCCCTGCAGCAGCTCCTAGCCTGTCTTGTAGTTTTTTTAGAGGGACTAGAGAATTAGTGCAGACTTGCTTCTTCACCCCTCCCTGCTTACTGGTAGTCTGGATCAAGCCTGTATGTACTTTATATATTGTATGAGAGATATAATTATATTTTTATCTTTCCAATAAAAACATTGTCCAAGTGGATATTAAAAATAAATTGCAATGCAAATATCTAAAAATATAATATGCAAAGCAAATATTTAAACAAATAGAATACAAAACAACACGAACACAAGGATAGATATGAACATAATATTTGTAAACTCATTCTTTAAAATGCTTGAGAGGAAAGAAAGGGCTGTCATTGAATAGATACAATGTTGGTGCCAGCCAATATTCTTTGGGAGGGTATTCCATAAGTGTGGTGTCATGACTGAGAAGGCCTCTTTCTTGTAGGCATGTGTCTAGCTTTCTTCAGTGAGGCATTAGGAAGAGGGCATCCAATGGTCTGAGCAGCTGTATACTGGAGATGTTTCTTTAGAGGATCTAATACCAAACTATTGCTTCAAAGGCTGTCACCAACACTTTGAATTGTGCTTGGAAACAGACTGGAAGCATTGATGAAACCCTGGTGTCTCATGATTATATAAACCAATCCCAATTCGTTATCTGTGAGCACAGTTGAATTAATGAGCGTTTCCAAACCATCTTCAAATATCCAATGCATTACAGTCTCCTATCAGGAAGTTAAAAACTTTCTTAGAATATCCAGCCTGAATAAATTCTTTATCCCATTCTACATGATAAGCATTGTTAAGTCTTAATATAAATAATGTTTTACTAATCTGTGGATTTTATTACAAGGAACTAACATATTGCTATTAATCTATATGAAATTAGCACAATTTCCCCTTGTTTCTGCTGAAATTTACCTAACAATAATAGTGCAAGACCCTGTTGTATAAAAAGGTTGAAAAAATCTGTGGGGTTTATACCAGTGTGTTCAATCCAAGAGTCCCAGTGCATTTCATAGGACTTCTTAATGGGAAAG